TCCCAGTATAACATGTATATATATATAGAGTAATGACTTATTAACCATCATAAAATCCACCATCAACCATCACAAATCCACCATTAACAATCATAAACAATCATTAACATAGCTTGACGGATATCATCCAAGGATAACATAGAGAGTAATGAGTTATTAACCATCATAAAATCCACCATTAACCATCATAAAATCCAGCATTAACCATCATAAACCAACATTAACATAGCTTGATGGATATCATCCCAGAATAACATAGAGAGTAATGAGTTATTAACCATCATAAAATCCACCATTAACCATCATAAAATCCACATTACAGCAACCATCATAAACCATCATTAACATAGCTTGATGGATATCATCCCAGGATAACATAGAGAGTGATGAGTTATTAACCATCAAAAAATCCACCATTAACCATCATAAAATCCACCATTAACCATCACAAACAATCATTAACATAGCTTGATGGATATCATCCCAGGATAACATAGAGAGTGATGAGTTATTAACCATCAAAAAATCCACCATTAACCATCATAAAATCCACCATTAACCATCACAAACAATCATTAACATAGCTTGATGGATATCATCCCAGGATAACATAGAGAGTGATGAGTTATTAACCATCAAAAAATCCACCATTAACCATCATAAAATCCACCATTAACCATCATAAACCACCATTAACATAGCTTGGTGGATATCCTCCCAGGATAACATAGAGAGTAATGAGTCATTAACCATCATAAAATCCACCATTAACCATCATAAAATCCACCTTTAACCATTATAAAACCCACCATTAACCATCATAAACCATCATTAACATAGCTTGATGGATATCATTCCAGGATAACATAGAGAGTAATGAGTTATTAACCATCAAAAAAACCACCATTAACCATCATAAAATCCACCATTAACCATCATAAACCATCATTAACATAGCTTGATGGATATCATCCCAGGATAACACACAGAGTAATGAGTTATTAACCATCATAAAATCCACCATTAACCATCATAAAATCCACCATTAACCATCATAAAATCCACCATTAACCATTATAAACCATCATTAACATAGCTTGATGGATATCATCCCAGGATAACATAGAGAGTAATGAGTTATTAACCATGATACACCATCATTATCCGTCATAAAGCATCATTAACATAGCTTGATGGATATCATCCCAGGATAACATAGAGAGTAATGAGTTTTCAACAATCATAAAATCCACCATTAACCATCATAAAATCCACCATTAACCATCATAAACCATCATTAACATAGCTTGATGGATATCATCCCAGGATAACATAGAGAGTAATGAGTTATTAACCATGATAAAATTCACCATTAACAACCATAAACCACAATTAACATAGCTTGGCTTGATGGATATCATCCCAGGATAACATAGAGAGTAATGAGTTATTAACCTTCATAAAATCCACCATTAACCATCATAGAATCCACCATTAACCATCATAAAATCCACCATTAACCATCATAAACCATCATTAACATAGCTTGATGGATATCATCCCAGGATAACATAGAGAGTAATGAGTTTTCAACAATCATAAAATCCACCATTAACCATCATAAATCCACCATTAACCATCATAAACCATCATTAACATAGCTTGATGGATATCATCCCAGGATAACATAGAGAGTAATGAGTTATTAACCATCATAAAATGCATCATTAACCATCATAAACCATCATTAACATAGCTTGATGGATATCATCCCAGGATAACATAGAGAGCACTGAGTTATTAACAATCATAAAATCCACCATTAACCATCATAAACCATCATTAACATAGTTTGATGGATATCATCCCAGGATAACATAGAGAGTAATGAGTTATTAACCATGATACACCATCATTATCCGTCATAAAATCCATCATTATCCACCATTATCCATCATTACCCATCATTAACCATTATAAAAGCCATCATTAACCATCCATTATCAATCATTTACCATCATAAAATACATCATTAACCATCATAAAATCCATCATTATCCATCATTGACCATCATAAAATCCATCATTAACCATCACAAACCATCATTATCCATCATTAACCATTATAAAAGCCATCACTAACCATCATAAAATCCATCATTAATCCATCATTAACCATTATAGAATCCATCACTAACCATCACAAACCATGATTTTCCATTATTTACCATCATAAAATCCACCATTAACCATCACAAACCATCACTATCCATCATTAACAATTATAAACCATCATTAACCATCATAAAATCCATCATTAACAATCACAAACCAAATTAACCATAATTAACCACCATGATTCATCATTAATCATCATCAAGTCCATCATTGACCATCACAAACCATCATTATCTATCATTAACCATTATAAAAGCCATCATAAACCATCATCAAATCCATCACTATCCACCATTAACCATTATAAAATCCATCGTTAACCATCAATAAACCATTTTTAAAATCCATCATCAACCATCGTAAAACCCATCAGAAACCATCCATTACCCTCTGGTAAACTAACAAAGCTATGGAAAATCACCATTTTTAATGGGAAAATCCACTATTTCTATGGTCATTTTCAATAGCAAACTGTTAAATTACCAGAGGGTATCCCCAGTGTTGTTCATGAAGAAATATCCCAGGTGCAACGCTCGGAGATCACCGGCCGCCTGCGGCCCCAGCTCTTTGAGGCGCTGTGACAAAGGGCCGGCACGGCGCTGGCCGGCTGGCTGTGAAAAATGGCCAGGATGGGAAAACCATGGGAAAATCATTGGAACAAACAGAAAACCATGGGAAAACCATGGGAAAACCATAGTGAAATGCTGAGTAAAAGCATGAAGAATGGTGATTTTACCATGAAAATTTGGGATTTAGACATTGAAACATGAGGATTCCATGGAATATCCAGGGGAAACCAGGTGAAACCATCAGGGATTGCGCCGCCACAAGGGTGACGTGGCCTGGAAAATCCACCAGTGATGAATTTCCCATCCAATAAACCTTCAATTGAGAGTGGATTTTCATGAATTGGGAACTGTTTATTTCCCATCATGAATTGGTGAAATCAAACATTGAGAGTGGATTTGAGTGGATTTGCCAGCCATGTTTGATTACCGGAAGGTAGTACAAGGTTTAGCATCCCAAAACGAGACGCTCCATTGGTGAATTGCTCTGGCTACAAAGCCCGGCTCTGAAGAACAAATGTCCAGGGAACCAGAGATGTTGGTCCAAGTGTTTGCAAAACATATCGTGTTTTTCCTTTTTTTGGGGTAGGCAATTGTGACCCATACACACATATCCAACAGAAATAATCGTAGAACCAATGATTTTCAGGAGAGAAGCTTCATGCAAAGCGAATGTGAGAGATATATACGTGGCCGCTGATGTTTATTTCTTCCGATGAACGGGTGATATCCATCCCATGGATGTTGAGGATTTCCCCGCATGGGACATCCCTGCTACCTCAAATATGATAAATATGGAGGTACAATGTGCTGTTTTGTTTGGCTATGTTTTTGGGGATATTCCATGAAATTGAGGTTCTTAGGGTTAGACCCATACTACCCGGCCTGGTAAACGTTTAAATAACGAACTGGAAAATTACCATTTTTAATGGGAACATCCACTATAAATAACCATTTTCAATAGCTATGTTAGGTTACCATGTTTCATCTTCTTGTTGGGTGACGGTGACCCACAAATATGGTATATATCCCATCCCTTTGTGTTGTCAACATTGGTTGTTTTTCTAGTTGCTGAATCTGAGTTTGTTCCCCTTGTTGGGACCCAAAAAAATGAGGTGCACCACTAAACCGAGCTTGACTTCAACACGCATTCTACACGCATTGTCCATGCAATCAATCAATGGATTGGTGTAAGGGAACATATACATGAACAAATAATAAACAAAAACTAACTTCCATTTGAAAAAACATGGTTTCCTGCAGATTGCCTTAAACCAATCCGTTGAAAAAAACGATCACCGAAGCTTGCCGCACTACGAACGGCCACAGGTGTACATTTCCACCACTGCCGTTCAGGACGTGGCGAGTTTTCGATGGGAAGAAGATGCCTATGCAATCAATACATGTTATGAAAACCAATATGGAAATGGAGAACACACCATTCCAAAATGATGCAACACTTTAGTATACAACAAAAACAATGTATGATAATGTATGTATGCATAAAGTAAGTTTTATGTATTTGTATCAGGTATGACGGAGTAGTGACGTCATGTCACGGCTCAAACGAAAAGACAAAATCAGTAAGATGCCCTCAGATTCGAAATGTTTCCATCTCAATCCCAGTGGATTGTCCCAAAAAAATCATGTCGTGGGTCACATTGAAACGACCACTGGAAGGCAGGTCAAATAGCTTATTTAGATGGATCATGGATCAAGATTGAGCGTGGAGCAGGGACCATGGCTGAAGGGCTTCCCAATCGATAGGTAAAACATAATGTAAAACATATTAAAAACAAGAACATAAATAACTAGGCAAACAGTTTGACTTTTGGGGGATCTATCTTGAAACAACATATTAACTTGGGAGGTGCTTGCTGTACCAACTCTTTAAAGGATGCTCCGTGCCAGGGGTTTGCCGACTAGAAAAAGAGCTCCTACTTGGCTCAAGCAAATTATGCCCGTGTCCCATGAAAGGTTGACAGTTCCAACATGTGGGAGGTCATGGAATGATCCTTTTTCTCTTCATTTACATGGCATTTCATCCCAGCTGACAGGCTCTTCATTTAGATATTGACAAGCACACCTTATTGGCGGTACATGCAAGGGACTGGTGAGTTCACCCATACCTAAGCAGCTCCAAAGGATACACATATGTCACTAATATCTTTCAAGGATCAATGTAGCATTCACACCTTAAACATTCACCCCTCATTCACCCATCCTTTCCCCCATCCCCAACCCTTGGGAATCGCCATGGACCCCGTGGTGCCCGGGCCGCGCCACACCCGGCCGCTCGCGCGGCCGCGGCTTGATGCGCCGCCGTCGAAGCGCTTCGTTGCAGCGCTGCAGCGTTCCAGCTCTTGGCGCTGGGCGGCCCTGGCGGCCACAAGGAGGGCCACCGTGGCGCGAGGCGAAGCGGAGTGGGTGCCAAAGAAAGAGCCATGGCAGCCATGGCTGAGAACTGACGGGAAGCTATGGGAAGTACTGGTATTTTTTTAAAAAAAATATATTTAAGAAGAGAACAAGCTGCGCTATAGTACTATAGCCTAAATGTGCATTTTCTCGTGGTTGTTGTTGTGTTGGTGCTGGTTCTTGGTGTTGTTGTTGTTGTTGTCGTCGTCGTCGTCGTCGTCGTTGTTGTTGCGGAGCAAGGAAGTCCTGACAGAGTCGGCAGCTTCTGAACGACCCATCGGAGACGCGTCTTAGTTGGAGAGTCAAGCAGGGGGCCCCATGGGGATATTGCAATGTTTGCAGTGGATTAAAGCGACCACAAATACTGGGAACCCAATGGGATACCATGTTTCATTGTCTGATCATGTTTGATATTATATTATATATATAATATATTCGCGTCGTTAAGTCAACTACAGATTTTTATAGATTCATATCCTAGGCTTTGGAACATGGACACAGTGAATCCAGTTGCAAAGTGGGGCCCAAGTCCATCCAACTGTAGACATAGCCTCCGTAAGAGCCTTCGCTTTTGTAGCCTAGTTATACCCCTAGAAATTCTTCAGAGGCAGTGAAGAATATATATAATATATATACCAGTAGTACCGCACAAGGCGGTGGCGAAAGTTTCAAAAATAGGAAACCTATAGGAGAGGTTGGTTGTTGTGAATCAGGGATGGCAGAGCGAAGCCACTGATGGACCGAAAGGTGCTTGAGGTCTCCTCTCTTTCTCTCTCTTTCTCTGACTATCTACCTACCTACCTACCTACCTATCTCTCTATCTATCTATCTATCTATCTATCTTTCTATCTATCTATCTATCAATCAATCTATCTCTCTCTCTCTCTTTCATCTAATTACCTATCTATCTTTCTATCTATCTATCTATCTGTCTATCTGTCTACCTGTCTATCTCCGGTGCAGTGTCATTCAGTGTAATGTAGCGTAGTGCAATGTAGTGTAGTGTAGCGGAGTGTAGTGGAATGTAGTGTAGTGTAGTGTAATGTAGTGTAGTGTAGTGGAAGGTAGTGTAGTGGAGTGTAGTGTAGTGTAATGTAGTGTAGTGTAGTGAAATTTAGTGGAGTGGAGTGGAGTGCAGTGGAGTGGAGTGGAGTGTAGTGGAGCGTAGTTGTTGTTGTAGTTGTAGTGTAGTTGAGTGTAGTGTAGTGTAATGTAGTGTGGTGTAGTGGAGTGGAGTGTAGTTTAATGTAGTGTAGTGTGGTGTAATTTAGTGTAGTGTGGTGTAATTTAGTGGAGTGGAGTGGAGTGTAGTTGAGTGTAGTCGAGTGTAGTTGTGTAGTTGTAGTTGTAGTTGTAGTGTTGTGGAGTGTAGTGTAATGTAATGTAGTGAAGTGTAGTGGGAGTAGTGTAGCGTAGTGTAATGTAGTGTAA